AGTAATTTTCATATCGAAGTACCCTTCCTTATCAAGAAGCCCTTGTAGCTTAGGAGTGATCCCCAAGGTTTCCACAACCCCTACATAAGATTTCTCTAACCTCAAGTTTCATCAACTACCTTGCTTGAATAAATCACTTGCGGTGCAACTTCTGCACGACGACCGTTACTGTCAGAAAACTCACCTGGTTCCCTATCTCTTACCATATTAACGTAAGACCTAGACCCCCTATCATTTCCACTAACCTCCCTTCTCATTCCAAAGTTTTCATCCCCATTCTCCCTTCTTGCACCTCCAAAGAACTTAGGACCACCACCGTTAGCTCGCGCCTCCTGGAAGTCTCCTTCCACTTTGGGCCGACGTTGAAATCTTGGTATATTAGTGTGTAATTTCTGATCACTAAGGAAAAGATTACCAAGTTTTGTTGCTAGACCTGGAACATCCCCCCACATCATAGAATCTCACAAGACCATAGTGATTCTTGTGAATATCCCGCTTAGGCGGAATAATGACTTCATCAACATCTTCAAAAATCTTGAACTCCTCGAATAAATCCCTTGTCGTGAACTCATATGGAAAAGACGTAAAGAAGATCATTGAAACAATAACTCCCCTAACCTTTGAGCTTCCACCATGAACATTAAGCCATCTATTAAGTTTGGGTCTTGCCTCCCTTCTCTTACCCTTCACCATTGACCAAACTCCGTCATACATTGAGAAAAAAGTCTTAGGGACTCAACATAAAACCCATCATAATTTGATTTTAATATGTCATACATAAACTAATTATGTCGAATTGGACCTTGTGTTAAGGATCCAATTGTTTAGTTAGTTTGTATTGTAAATTAGCTAGTTAGTCTATAAATAGGCTATATTACTCAGGCTTTTGAGTGACTCCACTTATTATTCATTTGTAATAATTTGTAAATCCTATATGAGAAAGTGAATAGTAAATAATTTTTCCTAATACTTATTCTTCTTTCTCTTTTTGTTTTAACCGTTTTATTGTTCACCTAAGAATTATGGTTCTCAATCTTTATTTGTTGAGAGGTATTGTTTGTGATCATAACAATTTTTTCAGCACTTAAGGTTCATTTATTATTGGATTGTAAATTGAAAGAGAAGATCAATTGTTTATTGAAATTGATTCAAGAACAACTTCATATAATCAAATTTGCTTAAGTATTGTAAATGATCACCAAGTGTGCGGTGACATAATTTGTAAAGAAAATGTGTGTACTTTCTAAAAGTATTTGCAAATAGAAAGTGATATATTTTTTATTTGTTGGAGAAAGATCCTTTTAATTGGTTTGATTCAAAATCCTTTCTTCTTTCTCTTTTTGTTTTAACTGTTTCATTATTCACCCAAGAACTTTGGTTCTCAATCTTTATTTGTTGAGAGGTATCGTTTGTGATCACAGCAATTTTTCAGCACTTAAGGTTCATATATTATTGGATTGTAAACTGAAAGAGAAGATCAATTGTCTATTGAAATTGATTCAAGAACAACTTCATATAATAAAATTTGTTTAAGTATTGTAATTGATCACCAAGTGTGTGGTGACATAATTTGTAAAGAAAGTGTGTGTATTTTCTAAAAGTATTTGCAAATAGAAAGTGATATATTTTCTATTTGTTGGAGAAAGATCCTTTGAATTGGTTTGATTCAAAATCCACTATAGTTGTTGGTGTATTCAAGGAAATAATGTCTTCAAAGGACTCCTTGTTTTAGAAGGATGTTATCCAAGATGAAATGGACTCAATAATGTCAAACCACACTTGGGAACTTGTTAATCTACCTAAAGGATCAAAATTCGTTGTGCAAGTAGGTATCTAAAATAAAGTATCATAGTGATGATATACTAAACAAATACAAGGCTAGATTAGTAGCCATGAGTTTTTAGACAAAAAAAGTTGTTAATTGTTTCATCACATATGCATCGGTAGCAAGTATGGCTACAATTAAAGTATTGTTTGCATTAGTTTCTTTACATGACCTTATAGTTCATCAAATGGATGTCAAAAACGGTATTACAAAATAGAGATCTCGATGATGAGATTTACATGGAACAACTAAAAGGTTACGTGGAAATGAACAAAATGTGTGCAAGTTTGATAAATCCTTACATGGATTAAAACAAGCACCAAAACAATGATATTGAAAGTTTGACCCTGTCATTGGAAGATTCACGAATTAAGGGGAGACTCACAAATTAGGGGAGACTTTTCAATCATTATCAAAACACGAATTCAAAGAGTTTATTATCATCAAAAGGGGGAGATTATGAGGAATACATCTTATATATAGTTCAATTTTAATGAAGACAAAGATTATCATAGGAGAAAAGGTTTAAAAGTGTCATGCACATCAATGATGAAGTTGATCAAGAAGGTTTATCATATAAATTCATGTGAAGATTTGAGACAAGTAAACATAAATAAGGTGCTTATTATAATTTATACTATACTACTTTAAATTGCTCATAATTTCATCTCTCACTTCATTTAAAACCGTCTTGTATCATCATGCATAATTATCTAAAAACATTCTTCATCTGATTCTTGTTACAAGTGTTTGTACATAAAGTTGTGTGAGAATATTATGATATTCAGTTATCTCCATGTTTATTATATGATTTATCATTAGCAACGAGATGAATGAAACTTTAGAAATAAAGAGGTTTCTAACTTCCACATTTAAGATGAATGATCTTGGATTAGTTGACACACTTTTGAGGATCAAAGTAAAATAAAATAGTGGGGGTTATAAACATAGTCAAACACACTATGTTGAGAAAGTGCTTGATAAGTTCAAACACTCACGCTTTAAGAAAGTGATCACTCTATTTGGTCCTAGTGTCAAACTTCAAAAGAATGATGGAAGAGTTGTGACTCAATTGGAATATGTAAGTGCATGTAATGTACTAGACTGACCTAACATTTGCAATTACTAAAATGAGTGGATTTTATTAGCAATCCAAATGGTGACCACTGGAAGACCATCATTAGGATTTTCGACTATCTTACAAAAACCAAAAATCATTGCCTCCATTATGGTATATTTTTTGCCATATTAGAAGAATATACTGATGCAAGTTGGATACCGAGTGTTGAATATCATAAATTTGCAATTAGTTGGACATTTGCACTAGTTAGGGGTGAAATTTTTTGGAAGAGCAAGAAATAAATGTGGATCACTCTCTCAACCATAAAATCAGAGTTTGAGGCTCTTTCTTCTGCTAGTGAAGAAGTTGAATGGTTGAGGGACATTCTGTTGGAAGTTCCATTGGATAAAGACAATGTTTCAAAGGTGTTGATACATTGTGGTAGTCAAACCACTTTAACTAAAGCATACAAAAAAATGTATAATAAAAAATCTAGGCAAGTAGGATTTAGACATTCTTTTGTGAGTAAATTAATTAAGGATGTAATCATATATATATATATATATATATATATATATATATATATATATATATATATATATATATATATATATATATATATATATATATATATATATATATATATATATATATATATATATATATACACACGATCAATCCATGATTTTCTTGATCAATTTACTAAGCCACTGATCAGAGACTTAGTAAAAACAACATCGAGAGAAATGGGGTTGAAAGTCCTTGAGTAAGAGTTCCGACAGTGGCGGCAACCCAATCATACATTAGTAGAACATTAACCTCAAGATTCAATGGGTAACAACAAGTTGTTGATTTGGATGTTTGTCGAACATTTCGTGATAATGTTGACCTTTAAAATGAGGGTTGAGTTTTATTTAAACTCTTAATGAAGTTCTATATCAAGGGTATGTGTTCCATGAAAAAAGTTACAATATGAATTTCACCTATGTGAATTTCGAGATGGTGTCGTCTCAAAGTGAAAGTTGTAGTTTCTCTCATGAAAAATTCACGAAAATGGGAAAAGAACATGCCCATAAATAGTGCTAGGCGAGAGATGCAGATGAATTTTGAAATAGGTAACACTTCGTGAAGTGTTGCAAAATGAAAGTATGCAACTCTGGAAGAATGTTGATGTAGGCAAAACAATGTAACTTTTGGTAAATGTACGTAACTTTTGGCAAAAGCGTGTAACTCTTAGTAAAAGGAAGTTGTTTCACCAAGGGTCGCAACTTAGTGAAGCAACACCAATATGGCCTATAAATACTTCATTCTGGATTCAGAAAAATATAACAAAAAACATACATTATATTCACTAAAATTTCAAATACTCTTCCCTACATTCGAGTTTTCATCGGTCTTGTGCAAACTCGAGTATATATATGTTAAATTATCATGAGTATTCCTGCGTTCCAACTCTAAAACATTTGAGAGTACTTGAAATACTTATAAGGAAAATGATTTCGTTCACGATTGTAGTCTCGATTCATTCGATTTAAATTAATTTTCTAACACGAGTTAGGCCTGAACAATGTGGATTTTGAATTACATGCTAAAAATATAGTGAATAGTATGAACATTCAAAATTCAAATGGTTCAGATTTTGATGCTATCACTAAATAGTATAATCGCTTGTTAGCCCTTATATTTATGAACTCTCATATTAAGTTTGTTAAAAGACAACATAAATTCAAGGTCTTATTTTGAATGAAATGAATTAAATTTTTCTCGTAAAAAATAAATTTATGTAGTAAAAGTTTATATATTTAAATAATTCGAAAATATTCTTTTAGAAAATTTTCAACGACTTAACGGCGAGTAACATGAAATTCTTTAAATTAATCATAAAAAGTCACTTGTAGAATGGAGTTTTCTAAACATTTTTCCATATGCATACCATGGATAAATTGTGAAAAAATGTGTATCTAAAATATTTTGTGGAGTTGATGTTAAAAGGATAAAAAAGATAACAACATGCTTTATATAGATAAACTTAACATTTGAACTTAAATACATTTTATTATTAAAAGTATCCTCATATATAACCATTATTTACCCTTGGCCACCTAAAGTTAGCATTTAAACCAAGCGTAATAACTCAAGAGCTTCACCAGTATGCATCTTGTTGGAAACTCTGAGTTTTCTATAATCTTCATAAACAAAAGGTTGATATAGACGTGGATGATCATGATCCACCACCTCTATTGGAGCCTCAACATTTCCCTTTTTAGGTCCTAACATAAATGTGGCAATCGAAAAACGTTTAGTAGCTTCTTTGCATTGCACACGGTGCTTCACATTGCAAAACCTTCCATTGCTCCATACCTGCATAAATAAACATTACTGATTAGTAAATACTTAGCGACCACAATAAACAATCTGTCGATGTCAGTTTCACACACCTGACACTAATACAAATATCTTTTTTCAAAAGTGTCGGTATTACAAACCTAGGTACTACTTACTTTAGCAATATCCCCAAGATTGGCTAGGAGGGTTCCATGAAATGGAGGGACAGAAACAAATGAGCCAGAATTGTTTATAATTTCAAGACCACCAACATTTTCATCATCTTGAAGGATTGTTAAGAACCCTGAATCTGTGTGGAGTTGAACTCCAAGGGACCCTACAGCTTCTGGAGTGAAGTTATATTTGTTAATTCTGAATTGGCATGGCCAGTCTTCAAAATCAGCACCAAATATGCCTAGTGATTCACCCATTTTTTCTCCTATTTTTACTGCCAAATCATATATTGCTTTACCATATGCCTCCATTACTTGCCTAAGAATCCATCAAAATCAACATTTTGCTTTTACTTGATTTCCCAACCACACAAAAGAGAGAAAAATGAAAATATTATTTGATCTCTTTTCTGTATTGAAACAAAAAACAGAAGATGTTTCTCGAGAATAAAATACATTTGCTAAAAATTCTTCTCTATTTAGTAAAATGGTGAATAATTGGTTAGTGGTAACAAATTAAAACTAATATGCTTAGTACTTATATAACAAAAGTTAGATCCAGACGTCAAGTGCATTCCATATCTAACTTAACAACATCTTCCGGCAACCAAGTTTTAAAGATATAGTTTATAGCTAATTTTTTTTATTGGAACATTTCAACATTTATATTTGGTGGAATTAATGAAAATTAATTAAAAATTTAATTTTCTGTCTCATTAATCACACAATTCTATGTGGATTTTAAATAGGATGACAATGGGCACGGTTTTGTGAATAGCTACCGAAGATGAGCCAAATTATATCACTAATTTTAAAGAATACTTTCGTCATTTTTTCTCTCAATTCCATCTCACTCCACTCTCTATTGTCATTTTTGCTATGAAAACAGGGAATCCATGTCTAATTAATTGCTAATCGAATATAACCGTCAAATAATTAATTCTTAAAACCAATCTTAACTTTTTTTTTTAAAGAATGAAAAAAGAAAGAGTAAAGAAAATTTGATAATTGAAATTGATTGAATCTAAAAAGCAGAAGATATGGATAGAGTTCAGAAAAGTAACAAACCTCTGATAGGGTGTGGCATTTAGCTGAGAGCAGAAATCTTGCATAGCTTGTGAAGAACCCAAATCATAGAGTCCTAAAGCTTCATAAAGAGGATTAACATCACTTGGTGCCTTGTAACCACTTCCAGCAATTACATCTTTGTTGTTTTTCTTGATCTCCATAGGAAGATCAAGAAGAGCTTCAGTAACCGTCTTCATCTCAGCCATAAGAGTTAAAGGAATAGAGTGGTTGATTGTTCTGAAACAGCCCCATATTTCACATGCATCTCTTAGCTTCTCGCATTCAGACTGATCTGAAAGATTTTCAACATCAATCACTGGAATTGTCTCTTCCATTCTTTTGGGGATGGTGAAAGGAGAGAAGATAGATTTACAATTGTACTATAAATATATATAATATCAGTCTAGTCTATATTAGGCTAAGTTATCTCTTATAGGTCTGAGAAAACCAATTGCTATTAAAATTACTATCCTATCCCTTTTCTTTGGACTTTCTTATAATAATTTAGATTTTAGTTCAATGACAATTAAAATAATTATAATTATTTATAAATGTGTTATTGATATTATTTTATATGTAGACGAAACGTTAAAAACATTATTAAGAATAACAATTGATATTGTTTTTTATATTTTTCTTAATTTTACTGTATTATTCGGCAATGCACCGTGCTCATGTACGGGTTTGCTAAAAATATTAAGGAAAAAATAAAAATTATATTTGATAATTACAAAATGTTATACAATATATAAATAATATATTTAAAATTAAATAATAAAAAATAATAGTTATATGTTTTTTTCCTAATGACTAAGTAATTAAATAGATCAACTGTGATTATCATGGTTTGTTTATAAATAGGAAGTAAATTTGATGTTTTAATTTAAATATGTGTCTCATATTTTTATTTATTATACAATATTTATAAAATATTATGAGAATGAATAAGAAATATCAGATTTAAAAAAAAATGTTAAAATTTAATCGTGATTTTCACTCAATTATGTGAATTAAGAGGAAAGAGAAATTTTTAAAAATATATTTTAATCTCAATATTTTACTTTTAAATCTGTTAGTTTTTATTTATTCTTATATTTTTATATATCTTATATATTCTCAAAAAAAAATATATATATATATATATATATATATATATATATATATATATATATATATATATATATATATATATATATATATATATATATATATATATATATATATATATATATATATATATATATATATATATATATATATATATATATATATATATATATATATATATATATATATATATATATATATATATATATATATATATATATATATATATATATATATATATATATATATATATATATATATATATATATATATATATATATATATAAGTGTTAAGTAATTGATTTCAGTTCTATTTTAATTCATATACATCCTTAAATCGACTAAAATGAAAGCATAATAGATTTAAAGTTTTGTAACGGTGTAATGTTATATTTTAAAATAATAAATAAATAATTTGTCTTTTATATATTGGCCAATATACAAAATTAATTGTTGCCTTTGGAAGTGTATTGGTATGATATCATCCAAAATGACCACAAAGTCAATGGCACTATTATGAACTCCTTAAAACCCGTAGAACAAGAAGAATTGAGTAATTGATCTATTATTTTACACGAGTATCAATGCATGCATGGATGTACACGAGGGTGAGACAATTACTACGTCTATTTTTTATTATAAATTATTTTTTATTTTTCACACATATTAAAAAATATAATAATTTTAGTATGAAAAGAAAAAATTATAAAAAGTTTTATAAAAGTTAGAGATTAATAACCTTTTTACTTTGAGTCTTTTCTCTTTCAGAAAATGGCTTAGGAGTAATACATAATTCCATCAACGTAGAGTATTTCTCTAATGTTGGCGGTAGTTGGTAATCGGAAATGTGAAGTAATGATAGATCAGATCATAGAACTGCACAAGCACCATTAACATCTCTTCATTCACTTGGAGTCTCAACAATGGCAAAATACTCCCATATTTGTCTTTGAATGCATAGGATCTTCCACTAGGCCTCCTAGCTTCCTCATATTTCTCAACTTTGGACTCTTGAATGTGTACCTTGGAGTTACTCTCTTTTCAAAATCTAGTCTATAATGTCTGTAAAATAAATTTAAGTTCCTTGAATGGTTAGCAAAACATGAATACAATGCGAATGCAATTGGTTTTAAGGAACTCAAGAGATAAATTGCGACGAGAAACACTTTTTGGAATAAAAAATTTAAAATAATTAATAATGGAAAAAGTTACAACTTTGAAGTATCAAACAAGAAACTAAAAATACAAAAGGAGACAAATAGGCCCAACGGGTCTCAAAAGACCATATCTAAAAGGTTATATCCTATGCATCCTCTTCTACCTCTTTAATTCGGTGTTTTCTAACACAAGCTTGTCGACGATCCCTTTCCAATTAAGCACCAAAGGTAGGAGGAATGTTTGAATACTCATGAGTACTGGGAATCGGTTGTACGCTAGAGAAAAATAGATTCTCTTGTGCCACATGCCTCTCCACAACAGGCCTCTTGAGTAACTCAATCAAATCATCTTTCTCTTTTAACCGCTTATTCATCTTATGTTCAGCTGTTCAGCATAAATGCCTTCTACTAAGTATGAGACTCAAAAGTTCACCGGAGTGAACGATTTCGGTCTGTGGCGCTTGAAGATGAAAGCCTACTAGTTCAGCAGGGTTGTTTGGAAGCGTTGAAGGGAGAGGCAGCCATGAACGATGCGTTAATGGAAACTGAAAATACGGCCATGATTGAGAAAGCCCACAACACAATATTGTTGTGCCTTGGTGATAAGGTTCTCCGAAAAGCATCAAAGGAGACTACGACATCGGGGTTATGGTTGAAACTTGAAAGTTTGTACATGACTAAATCTTTGGTGAATCGACTCTACCTGAAGCAAGCTTTATATTCATTCAAGATGAGTGAAGACAAAGTGTTGGTTGAGCAGTTAAATATGTTCAATAAGCTGATTTTTTATCTTGAAAGTATTGATGTGAAGATCGATGATGAAGATCAAACATTGTTATTGTTGTGCGCTTTGCCCAAAACATATGTTCACTTCAAAGAAACTCTCCAATATGGAAGGGAGTCCCTGAGCTTTGAAGAAGTTCAATCAACCTTGTATTCTAAGGATTTAAATGAACGAAAGGAGCATAAACTTTCAACGGTTGCTGAAGGTTTGGCCGTTAGGGGAAAATTCTTGCAAAAGGATGGTAAGTTTGATAAGAAGAAAGGTAAAAGTCAACAGAAGTCTTATAGTGGCGAGGAATCTAATATTCGATATTATAACTGTAAGAAGGAGGGTCGCACAAGAAAGGTATGCCCTGAACGCCTGAAAGATCATGGAGGTAAGGATAATGGCAATGCAACCATTGTTCAAGATGACTTCGACTCATATGTTGTCCTCGTGGTTTCAAGAAGCGACTCAAGAAAGGAGTGGATTATGGATTCAGGTTGCACTTGGCACATGACTCCAAACAAATATGTGTTTGAGGAATTGTATGATTAAGATGGTGGATCAATGTTGATGGGAAACAACAAAGCTTGCAAAATTACAGGTATTGGATCTGCGAGATTCAAGCTCCATGATGAGTCAATAAGGTTATTGAATGAAGTCAGGTGTATGTACCTAATTTGAAGAGAAATTTGATTTCTCTTGGTGAATTTGACAAGAAGGGAAGTGTTTTTCAAGGAGAGAAAAGTCTTGAGAGGCGTGAAGAAACAAGGTTTGTATACCCTTAAGGTTGAAGTTGTAAGTGGTTCAACAAATGTTGCATCCACGAAACTCTTGTTGAAGACAAAAATTTGGCATATGATATTGGGCCATGTCAGTGAAAGGGGTCTGGTCGAATTGGGGAAACAAAATCTTCTTGGTGGAGATAAAGTCGAAAAGCTGAAATTTTGTGAATCTTGTGTACTTTGAAAAACTTGTAAAGTAAAGTTCAACAAAGACAAACAAAGAACTCATGGATCCCTTGATTACATCCATGCTGATCTTTGGGGGCCTGCAAGATGTCCATCATATTCAGGAGCAAGGTAATTTCTATCCATAGTTGATGATTATTCCAAAAAAATTATGGGTATTCATCCAAAAGACTAAGGATGAAAATTTTAAGAATTTCAAAGGTTGGAATACTCTAGTCAAAAATCAGAAAAGCAGAAAGGCCAAGAGGTTGAGAACCGACAATGACCTTAAATTTTGCATTGAGGCGTTTGACATCTTTTGTGTTGCCTCAAATATTGCAAGGCACAAAACTGCTACAGGTACTCCACAACAAAATGGTTTGGCGGAAGGTTTAATCAAACTATTTTGGAAAGAGTTAGATGCATGTTAACTAGTGATGGGTTAAAGAAGGTGTTTTGGGCTTAAGTTATTTCAACAACAATGTCGCTGTGAGAATCAGATATCAAGCTATTGTATTAACTTGAATCCCAAATCATAAAATATCACCACCGAACTTTTATTTTATCCAAGGGAAGGGAGAAAAGATCGAATCAAAAATTCTAAGTAAAATGCTAAGCAAAAACCAAGGCCTAAAGCTAAGTAAAAGAGAGATCAAATGTACGAGGGTTGATTATACTAAGGGAAGGTACTAGCACCCTAAGCATCTGTAGTACTCTACAAAAACCTCTTGAAATATTTGTGTTTTGTTAAAATTGTTTGCTAAGGATAAAGATGGGCTAAGGAAAAGGAAAAGGTGGAAAAAGAAAAAGGTAGAAAATAAAAAGGTAGCTCGTTAGGATCTCGCAATCTTATGCCTACGTATCTTTAATAGGAAGTCAGAGCAATCGTAGTTCGGAAACCACGAGTGGAAAAAAGAAAAGTTTGCTCGCCAAGGATCAGGGCCTTGTGCCTACATATTCTCAAGCAGAACTTAAAAAATCAGAGCGTCTATAGTTTGTGGAACCACGGGTTGTCAGGTTTTAAGAACCAAGAACAACAAAGACAAGTAAAAAAATAAACAAGGGACATGCACAATGACAATAAGTCAACATACAATCCCTTCCCTTGAATTAGGTCACAGGGATCAAAAAATGATAACATGGAAAAACATCATGAAATCAACAAGCAGACAAGTCACAGACACAGTACACGAAAAAGCATCATGTATGGTCAAACAGACAAAATATTGCATGGAAAAACATCATGGTAATCAAACAGTGAAATATCAGTAGAAATACACGGAAAAACATCATGTAATCAACATAAAAAGATATGCGACAAAACATCGCAAATAAAAACACACAAACAATCACGA